GCAAAACACGTTTTTTTAATATATAGGTTGAGTTACTGTGGTTAAAAAATTAAAATTTATGTGAGTCACCATGGTTAAAAGTTAAAATTTTAAATTTAAAGGAGTTAATGTGGTTAATAGATTAAAAGTTAAAATTCAAATGAACTACCGTCGTTAAAAAGTTAAAAAATATAAACTGTCGGATCAAAATGATCTAGGCCATTATTANTTTTTAAAAGTACTTTTAGAAATTATTTCTCATAAATACTTAAAAAAAAATAGTGTTTGAAATCGCTCCACCACTACCACCGCCACCACTGCCATCGCCACCACCGTCGCCACCACCGCTACCTGCACCATCACTGTAGCCACCGTCGCCACCACCACCACCATGGTTGTCACTCGCCACTACCATCATCGCCACCACCTCTCCCACCACCCCTATCACCAGCACCACTGTCGCCACCACCACCACCGCTGTCGCTCCCACCCCCATCGCCACCACCATCACTACTGTCGCCGCCACTGAAGTTGCCATCCCCGTCGCCGCCGCCACCACCACCATCGTCGTTGTCGTCGCCACCACTACCATCGCCGCCGCCACTATGATCGTTGCCACCCACCACAACTATCACCGTCTCCTACCACCACCATTGCCGCCCACCACCTTTCACCCTCTACTGCAAACTAATGCTTAAATTCATTATCTCTTCTCTATGTTTGAGATATGATTTTAAATATGAATACAAATATGTTTATTGTCTACTATTTTTTATTACTTTGTGCCTTCAAGCACAGACAATAACTAGTTATACAATAAATTGGCTCACCGCTTATAGGTTTATAATTTTAAGTTGGTATGAATTTGAGATATTTATATTAGGCCTTAGATTAAGGGGCTCCTAGTCTTCCAATGCAGGTACAAAAGAATTGAAAGATAAAATTATAACAAAATATAGTAAATATGATAAGATTTCATAATTCTTTGTAAGGAAAAATAGAACTTAAAATATATTTATATATTTTTTTGTAGATAAAATCTTATTCTATACTAGTCATGCCCCGCACAAAACACGTTTTTTTAATATATAGGTTGAGTTACTGTGGTTAAAAAATTAAAATTTATGTGAGTCACCATGGTTAAAAGTTAAAATTTTAAATTTAAAGGAGTTAATGTGGTTAATAGATTAAAAGTTAAAATTCAAATGAACTACCGTCGTTAAAAAGTTAAAAAATATAAACTGTCGGATCAAAATGATCTAGGCCATTATTATGCTTTTCTAATTGAGGAGCTTAAAAAGCCCAAGCCGGAGGCACTGTTTTATTAATATAGATTAAATGAGTTACAATGGTTAAAAATTAAATTTAAATGAGTTATCGTGGTTAAAATATTAAAGATAGATATAAACCGTTTACTAGTAGTGCCCTGCGCAATCACCTTTTTTTTTAATGTATAGACCGAGTTATTGTGGTTAAAAAGTTAAAATTTTAAAAAATTATTGCGATTAAAAGTTAAAATCTAAATAAGTTACCGTAGTTAAAAGGTTAAAAGTTAAAATTTAAATGAGTTATCATGGTTAAAAGATTAAAAGATATAAAATGTCAATTTAAATAAATTATTGTAGTTAAAATGTTAAAAGATATAAACCGTATACTAGTCATGCCCCACGCAAAGCACATATTTTTTTAATGTATGAGTTGAATAACTGTGGTTAAAAAATTAAAATTTAAGGGAGTTATTGTGGTTAAAATTTTAAATTTAAATAAGTTATCATAATTAAAAAATTAAAAAATATAAACAATCGAATCGAAACAATATAGGCCGTTGGTGTGCTTTTCTAAACAACTCAAGCATGGGACTTTGTTTAATTAGTATAAATAGATTATTCATTGCTTAAGTACACTGTGCATGAGTTTTTTTCTGAATTCAGCCGCGCCTTTCCTTAATTGAATGAATTTGAGCATTGAGTTCTTCCCATTTATCTATATTAATAAAACATAGCCTCTTATTTGAACTGCTTAACTTCCTAAATTACAAAAGTAGTCAACCAAAATGCCCAACAATTTGTTATCTATGGGCTATGCTTCCCACTAACGGATACTGTTTCTTACAATTAAAATTGCTAAGATTAATGACATTTTCTCCCTCAAAGTTTACAGTTACTTACATTGTCCCCTCAAAATTAGAAACTTCAATTATCCCTTTAATTGTTTAAATTTGTTATAACATATCCCAAGACTAGGTCTCTTCCATGGTGGTCAACCGTTGACCTCGGGGGTAATCGGTGCAATGCTGAACACCTGTAGCAAACAAATAAAAGAAAGATTAGGTCTCTTTTTCTGAAGTAATTCCCTCACAGCCAAGAAAGTGTTATNTGTAGCAAACAAATAAAAGAAAGATTAGGTCTCTTTTTCTGAAGTAATTCCCTCACAGCCAAGAAAGTGTTATTTTAGAGGTGCAATAGAGGGTTTGAAACTGCTAAATTGAGTCAACTCAGTCAATTTAAGTTTTACCAATTAACTCACTAAGTCGACTCAATAATCACTATCAATTTGAAATCATTATTATCATTTGTACCTCATTGTCCTACGTGCACATCTTTTGAGAAAATATAAGTAAAAGCAAAAAATAGAATCAGTAAAAAACATCTCATTTCAATGGACGAAAATCTATGTTTTTAACATTCATTCCCCTCTTTAAAAGCACGTAATATTCCTTCCCTCTTTGAAAAACTTTGTCTTCCAAATTTGATTTGTTAAGTGGAAGAATGAGGAAGTCATCGATCCTATTTCATTATCTTCGTAACAATCGACAGAATCAATATTTTTAACATCATTGATACTCNAATTTGATTTGTTAAGTGGAAGAATGAGAAAGTCATCGATCCTTTTTTATTATCTTCGTAACAATTGACAGAATCAATATTTTTAACGTCATTGATATTTTTTTGTTATGGACCGATTATACTCTTCCTTGAAATCAAACAAACTTGTCCCAAACGATCCTTTTTCTTTTCCTAACAAGGACCACCCTGACGATAGTGTAAGAATGGGTTGAATGAATTCCCAACAATTTTTTAACGGCCGAAAATTCTTCAAAAGTTGGATTTTGGTTTGTTGATGAGTTTGGAATCTTCTTGCTTTTTTGGAGATATGTTTCTGTAGCATCCGAATGACTTTTGTATAAAGTTTTTGTTGCAAATCTCCTTGGCTGCAATGCCGCTCATCAGTTCGTCTGTTGTGTTGTCACCAAATGATGACCCATTCTTATTCTCGTAATGTATTTTTCTACACGATCAATGAAGTATGTTGGCATGCAATTTTTCTTCTTGAATGATTTTTCTGAGGTTGTGGAAGCCTTGTTATGTGCGTTGATTTTCTTCGATCAATCTTTTGAACACCTTTCGAAAATTTTCACACATCTAATTTAAATTTTTTGATGAGGTAGTCATTAATAGGATTGAGAGCTGTGATACCAATTGTTATGTACACCCTTTTTGAAAAAATGTAAATAAAACAACAAATAAAATTAGGAAAATAAAACCCGCTTCAAGTGGGATAAAAACCTCCATTGATTTATTCCAAGGAAAATCCAACCTCGAACGTGTTTCACAAATAAATTTATCACAAATATCAATTACCTTTTAATTAACAATAATTTTATTACAACATAGAATGACGATATAAATAAAGATATAATGATGTGACATCTGACATGAATTTGTCGTGTCATTAAAATTCTGCCAACTAGTTTAATCTTTTATTTTTTGTTGATTTTTCATTTTTCAACTTGTTGAGGACTCCTACTTCGGTTTGCCCACTTCCCACCGTCCTTCCTTGCATTCATCGTCTCCTCTGCCAACATCAAAGGATGAAGATTGAATTCATCTCCTCTACCAACAGCTAATGGTTTTGAATAATTTATCAAGCAAACCACGAACCCAGCCGACACCATTAAATAATCACTCGATCTCTAGATCTGCTGCAACCCTTCAATCCCTACACCATTCTTGATTACTTCAAGTTGATCGATCCAAGCTGTACAAGTCCTAATACTCTTACTCAAGTCAGAGTATGAATGGAATGAAGGCCCAACTTGCGACTGAGTTTTTGAAATTGATCTTTGCCTAATGTCTTGCTAAATATATCTACAATTTGCTCAAATGTATGAATGTAAGACACTTCAAAGAGTCCACCCTGAAGTTTTTCACAAAAAAAATAGCAATTGAGTTCAATGTGTTTGATTCATTCGAGAAAGACTGGAATAGACTACCGTGACCACCCCAGCTAACACCCCAAACCACCCTAGACCCACCGCCACCACCTCCCATTTGNGAATGTAAGACACTTCAAAGAGTCCACCCTGAAGTTTTTCACAAAAAAAATAGCAATCAAGTTCAATGTGTTTGATTCATTCGTGAAAGACTGGATTAGACTACCGTGACCACCCCAGCTAACACCCCAAACCACCCTAGACCCACCGCCACCACCTCCCATTTATATTTAATGGTTCAAAGAGGTGACTTTGTGGTAGTAACTCAGATTTTAGGTGATATTGAAACTGCGATGGTGGAGACTTTAAACAAAGCTGAATATTACCCAAGCCATGCTTAAAAAAGTACTGATAATAAATTTAAAATTAATAAAAATAAAAAAAGATATGCAANGTAACTCAGATTTTAGGTGATATTGAAACTGCGATGGTGGAGACTTTAAACAAAGCTGAATTTTACCCAAGCCATACTTAAAAAAGTACTGATAATAAATTTAAAATTAATAAAAATAAAAAAAGATATGCAAAAAATATTTTCAAATATTAACTAACTTATTAGTAATTGAATCATGATAACCTTATTGGGAACCATTACAAAAGCCTCCAGAAAACAAAAACTAGCTTTCTCTTACTTCAGCCTCCAGTTGATGGCTGATAGTAAGAATGAGCACCATTCAGTGTATCAAATCTTACATTTAAGTTGAAGTACTCACATAATTCCATTTCATGCCACTTTGAATTTCTGCANCTTATTGGGAACCATTACAAAAGCCTCCAGAAAACAAAAACTAGCTTTCTCTTACTTTAGCCTCCAGTTGATGGCTGATAGTAAGAATGAGCACCATTCAGTGTATGAAATCTTACATTTAAGTTGAAGTACTCACATAATTCCATTTCATGCCACTTTGAATTTCTGCAGAGAAGGCCGGGACTGGAGATTCTAGCTGCCCAATATCCGATCTGACCCAGGAGGAAGGTAATGTTCCACGATATCTCTAAAATCAGGCTGTGAGATGGTTCCACTGCCAAACAAAGAGCAAACATTTCTACCATTACCATAACGAAGAACTAGAGTTTTCTCCGATTGTATTAAACTGCCGACCCTCCAAGAGTGAGGAAGTTTGAGGTGTCTGTTGTGAAGTGCAAGGGCTACTGCTGGATTTGGGCTGCTCCTGCAAAACAAACAAACAAACTAAATATGAGTAGACATGGTCACATAGATCACAATCAGATGTCAAAAAAAGTTATTTTAGTTATTGTTATACTGTGCCAAATCAAGAATGAGTTTTTTTTTTAATTTCTATTTTCGNGAGGAAGGTAATGTTCCACGATATCTCTAAAATCAGGCTGTGAGATGGTTCCACTGCTAAACAAAGAGCAAACATTTCTACCATTACCATAACGAAGAACTAGAGTTTTCTCCGATTGTATTAAACTGCCGACTCTCCAAGAGTGAGGAAGTTTGAGGTGTCTGTTGTGAAGTGTAAGGGCTACTGCTGGATTTGGGCTGCTCCTGCAAAACAAACAAACTAAATATGAGTAGACATGGTCACATAGATCACAATCAGATGTCAAAAAAAGTTATTTTAGTTATTGTTCTACTGTGCCAAATCAAGAATGAGTTTTTTTTTTAATTTCTATTTTCATGATCTAGGGTTCAAGACCTTTAACTTTTTTATCTTCACCTAAGCTAACTTCCACTTGATTGAAAACATAAAACAATTGAATCCTGCTTCATCAAATGATCACTGAAGCCTAAGAGAGAAAAAAAAAAAGGAAAGGAGAAAAGAAAAAGGTAACAGGTACTTTAACATCTGGCTGAATAGAGGTTATCTTTGATTTTTTGNAACTTCCACTTGATTGAAAACATAAAACAATTGAATCCTGCTTCATCAAATGATCACTGAAGCCTAAGAGAGAAAAAAAAAAGGAAAGGAGAAAAGAAAAAGGTAACAGGTACTTTAACATCTGGCTGAATAGAGGTTATCTTTGATTTTTTGGAAGGTGAAACAAAAATCCGAAGAAAGATTAACATTTTCAGTAATTATAAACAAGTGTATAGTAGCATGGAAGCAAATGTCTGAAAAGTACATAGCAAAGGGTCCAAGGTCGGGAAATTATTTACGAAAAAAATTTAAAATTTATGGGGAAAAAGTGTCTGAAACCAGCAAAGGAATGTCACCCTTCCGTCTTAGGCTAATAATGTCTCACCTCTTGCGTAATATCTCTAAGTAACTACAATCCAATTAAAGATATTCCTCTAGTTAATCAGAAAGAAATTAAACTTGGTGCAAATAAACCCTTGTCCTCGATGGGATAGACTACCCATTTGCCAGGAAAAAAACTTAAATGGCATAAAAACAGGTCTTGTTATACACCTTCACAGTAACACATGAGAAGAGAATTATCTAATTCCTAGAATATGAATAAAGTGAAAAGGAAAGGCACTTCCATACTAGAGAAAATGGGAAGTGTGGTACCTTTCACTCCTATTCAGAACCTTACTCCACCAGAGGATGGCTTCCAGAAGATCCTTTTCCAATTTAGTGAGGTCAATCAGAACCATACCCAACTCTGGGATACAAGCATTTTTCGCATATGGTGTCTCAGACACCCATGGTTTTGAAGCGGATCTTTGAACAGCATCCAAAACATCCAAATTAATGTAGGTGGATAGTCTTTTGGAGCAGTCCTCGGCAACTGCAATGCCATAGTTGCCTAAGTTAACTGCAAGCAGTTCTTCAACCCTTCCCTGCATTTGCAAAAAAATTGTTGATGCCATTGTTGTTTGTTTATTAGCTTTTTTTATTTTTTCCTTTTCTTTGAGAAGTGAAACAATCAATTCCTTGTCAAGGAAGACCTAGCAAAATAATTCAGGTCAACCACAATTTCAAGGTAGTGCTTCAACTATTTTTGATAGTTCATCCACAGATGAAGAGAACAAATGGATACTTTTTGGAAAAGAACAGATGGTTGCTGGCATGTGCATCACACAGGATAGGTATAAAGGACATCACTCCTGTGCAATATAGTGATCTCAACTCCATTTTATTATTTTGTTGTAATTATGAACTCACATTTCAAAAAAAGGTCATTTACATTACATCTGAAGCTACATGTGTGAGAGATTGTGTGTATTTTTTTTTCTTTTTGTACATTAATGGCTCAATCTGGAAATATATAGCTATTAAGAAGACTAAAGAAAACCATAAAAAAAAACTCTTAATCATGGATTGTGCAAACTAGCAAGGAAGTCCAACCTTTATTATTACATTCGGTGAGACATATATGAACTTGCTTAGCAAAGGGTAGACAATTTGTATGACAAAAGGAACAACTTCGTCAATAGTAGGGGCAGCATAGTTTCCGGCAGAATAAGCTGCCATAAATTCTTTTACTTTAGCCTGTCTAATTTCACAAAGACATCAGTAAACACAGAGATATGAAACAGACAAATGGACAAATACGATATGGCTTACCCTAAAAAATCAATACTTGTGTGTGGAAATAACACTTTTAGCTTATAGTAGGATACTTTGTCATCATGCCCTTCAGGGGTGAAGAAATGGAAATGAACCAATTCCGGATGCCTGAAAAAACATAGAATAAAAGTAATAAATAGGGGGGAAAAAGTAATTAGTAACATGTGGCAACAATAGCAAGCATTGTACCATCCCTCTGAAAATTTATAATCAGACAGAGAATCATATATTTGAAGTGTTATGAATATAATAACATTTACAACCACATGTGCTGCTTTTTTTATATTCGATAAAAGAAATCCATTATGAGTAACAACTTGGTGCCATCCATACATAGATGGCATACAAAGGAAACAAAACTCACCATACATCACAAGAAAGGATTCTCTAGGAAAAAGAAAATGCTAAAAAAACAGCTACGTTTCTTTTTCCCAAACTCAGAATCCACATTCCCAGAATTCGTCTATTTTAACTTCAAGGCCCTTTTTCTTTTATCTGTATCTTCAATTCAAATATAGACCTGGATATGAATTTCACTGATTTAACCCAAGTTCTTGCAAATATCAAGAAAATGCAGGTGAAGAAGGGACCATTAATCATCAGACTCATTGCTATGCAATAAACAGTTCAGTGGACAAAGTCACAATCCATCAATCAAAGCTCCAGCCACAGGGAAGCAATTGCTATGAGTCAATCTAAATGGGCATAATACAAAGAGGTGATTTAGAAATAATTCAGCACCAATTACAAGCAAAATCAAAAGCTAATTCAGATTTACGAGAAACATCAAAGAACCAGTTGAGGACAGATATAGAAAGCAATTCATGCGAAAGAGAAATGTGGAAGAAATGGAACCTATTCTCGTTTCAGATACAATTTAGAGTCACTCTAACTTGAGCATTATATGCCATTGTCATGACATGCACAAATAAAATACAAGCATGAGCATTTAGATGAGTCACAAATATTTAATAACAGATTCATGTAAAGGATTCCTGAATTTCATCACAATAGGACAGGTAAATCGTAGGACCAACACAAAACATATACAACTTGAACGCTAACATTGATGTGGTACACAAAAAGTGAGAATATTCTAATAATGTAGGATGAAGCCTTTGCAGGACATTAGAATTGAAAATTATGCGAAAGGGAAATGTGGAAGAAATTGAACCTATTCTCGTTTCAGATACAATTTAGAGCGACTCAAACTTGAGCATTATATGCCATTGTCATGACATGAACAAATAAAATACAAGTATGAGAATTTAGATCAGTCACAAATATTTAATAACAGATTCATGTAAAGGATTCATGAATTTCATCACATTGGGGACAGGTAAATCGTAGGACTAACACAAAACATATACAACTTGAACACTAACATTGATGTAGTACACGAAAAGCAAGAATATTCCAATAATGTAGGACGAAGCCTTTGCAGGACCTTAGAATTGAAAATTTCCCTTGTGTAACATAAAGGAGGTCAATAGTAAACACCATAAGAGTGGATGATAGCCTCGAACTAGAAGACTTCAAAGTGAACAACAAGAATCAAGAAGATCAATCAAGCAAGCGCAAGGCAGATCTCAACCATTGGAAGACTTCAAGCTGTAAGGGACAAGTGTCTAGAATTTTGGGTAGTCCAAATTAGTGTTAAGCCCCGTCATAAAAACGGGTTAGACACTTCCAGTGAAAGCAATTTGCAACCTGCAGACTACAACAACCCTAGTCAACCAGGTATGGACCTGGTCAACCAAGATCAGCCTACATGACTAGGCCCTTATAAAAGTCAATTGGCCCTGTCGAATTTTGAAAACTCTGCCTGTTGCAGCACACATTATAAATACTCAATTATTTTTAGTGGATAGATCAATGGCCTTGTAAGCTCAAAACCATGCACTCATACATAGAACACCTTAGAGTAATTGAGAAGAGAGCTTTAAGATGTTTCTACATCCTTCCCTCACCTAATAAGGTCCACTTGCTTGAAGAACTTTTATATACATATCCAGTGCAACATTGACCATTTTTGCAATTATCTGTGTTGGATTTGTGCAGCGGTTTGATCAGCTCTGTTACCACTTATTGAAGTGATGGTGCAAATTCAACAAGTGGTATCAGATACAATCGAACCGCTTCGCAAAATCCAACAAGTTGTATCAGAGCCAAGATTCCATCTTGGGGCTTGTGGGTTTGGTTCAATGGTATTCCTTAACTTGTGAAGGTTTTGCCTTCTTGAGATCAAGAGTTCAACCCCTCTTCCCTCTCCCTCTCCCTATCCCTCCCCCTATCCCCCAAAAAATAAATAATAAATAAAAATGGGTCCACCACACTTCTGATGCACCACTTTGATGGTGCAGGGAGCTAGTTGTTGGGCGTAAGGGGCTCTAGATTGAGTGGTTATGTGTGATCTTCTTTCTTTACTGTTGAGAAAAATCAAGTAGTATAAGTCTCATCACTCAAGTTTAACTCCCAAAACTCTTGTACATCTCCCTCAATCTTACTGCTCGCAAACCCCAGTAAAGAAACCTCTCTCACTCTATTATTTATGGTTTGTATTTTATTCTATTAAATTCTAGTGGCAAGGTGCCACACGCCACTTTCTTTGGATGGGTCTTGCATTGCAAGACTAATTTAAGTTTTACTTGGAATAAGTAAAAGACGTCCATGACGCGAAAGACTCTCTTATTTATGACGACTTTGATTTGTGGTCAACTACAAAGAAATTGATTGAGTTTCTTTGTCCAAAGGCAATTATATAGCTTCGGTCTTCGGTGGCTCCTTGGGATTTTTTTTGATGACGACGACAATAATTTTTTGGGGGTTTTGCTCTGTTTATTTTGGGTCTTCTTTAGGAACACCAATTTGATTAGGAAGAAGATTTTTCGCACTATTAATTTTGTAATAGTGATAGAGCAAATACGTTCTATTGTTGCTTTGTTTCCAGAATGATTTTGTAATTTTCAACTTTTGAATAGTGAAATCTTGCCTCTATGTTTCGTTTGTGAACGTAAGTTTGCTTGTTAAGCCAAATTACGTAAATCTGTGTGTTCTATTTTTCTATTTCGTTGTGTTTTATTTGGCTCGTGGATTTGGTTCATAACAAACTGGTGTCAGAGCTTTGGTGTCGGAATAGCTACTGCAAAATTCGAGATAGAAAATTTTGATGGTCAGAACAATTTCAGTTTATGGCAAATTAAAATGAAGGCATTGCTTCGTCAACAGGATTGAGCAAAAACCATTTATGGATGTCTATCCAAGGAGATAGATCAGATTAAAATTGTTGATATTGAAGATAAAGCACACGCGGTGCAATTCAGTTGTCTCTTGCTGATAAGGTTCTTAATGAGTTCGTTGATGAAGGCAAAGCCAACTAACTTTAAAAAAAGTTAGAGTTTGTATATGAAGAAGTCTCTCGCCAACCGTTTGTATCTGAAGCAACGGTTGTATACATTCAAAATGAAGAAAGGTACGTCAATTATTGAACATCTTGATGAATTTAACAGAATTATTATGAACTTAAAAAATATTAAAATTGAGAATGAAGATCAAGCCCTTATTGTGTTATGCTTATTATCTTTTTTGTCTAATAATTTTGTTAATTCGATGTTGTATGGGAAAGACTCGACCTCCTTAGTTAATGTGAATTCCTTTTTAAATTCTAAGGAGTTATATACTAAATTGAATGGTAAAGACAATGATGCTCATACCAAGGGTCTATTTGTGAAGGGTCGCCATAATAGTTCTTCTAATAATAATAGAGGTTGATCCGTTAAAAGAAATTCAAATAAAGAAAAAGGAGAATTTGAAAATTGATCATGATCTAAGAACAAAGAGAATAATGTGGAATTTTTTTATTGTTACAAAATTGATCATTATAAACATGATTGTTTTAAGCTGAAAAATAAATGGGGACAAAAAAATCAAATCCTTCCAATTCTTCTAGTGCTGCTGGTGTTGCAGAAGATACATCTGATGGTTTAGATTGTTAAATAGCATCAAATTAGGAGAAGAGATAAAAGAGAGAATAATTGCATTACAACTTAATAGAAAAATGCATACAAGAGGCTCTTATATAGTATGACAATTTAAAAGAACAAAAGGACTAAACTACCCTTAAGACTAAATATGGTAACTACTCTAATACCCTCCCTCAAACTCATAATGTGGTAGTAGGAAATATCAAGAGTTTACCAAGAAGAAAACGAAAACGAAAACGAGTAATAGTATGCAATTTTGTGAAAAAATCAACTAACTACATAGTGGAAGAAAGAAAAGGGAGGGAGATAGTGCCAAGCTGAAGATGACGACGAACAAAGTGACAATCAATCTCAATATGCTTTGTGCGCTCATGAAAGATTGAGGTATGAGCAATATGAATAGCACTAGTATTGTAACAATACATAGGAGTCGGCACAGATAACATGATGCAAAGATTAGCAAGAAGTCATCGTAACCAAACTATCTCAGTTGTAGTAGATGATATAGCACGATATTCAGCTTCAACAGATGAACAAGAAACAATCGTTTGTTTCTTACTTTTCCAAGAAATAACAGAATCACCGAGGAAAAGACAAAAGCCAGTAGTGAACTTATAGTCCATAGAGTCACCAGCCCAATCGGTATCAGAATAAGCCCTGAGTTCCATAGAGGAGGAGGAGGAGGAGAATAACAAACTCTGATGCAGAGTACCTCGAAGATACCCAAGAATACGAAGTACAACAATCCAATGAATAGTGGTGGGTGAAGCAACAAATTGACTAACAACATAAACAGGATAGGAGATGTTCGAACAAGTTACTGTAAGATAAACAAAACTCCCAACAATAGCACAATAGAGTGTAGGATCAGACAAAGAAGTACCATTAGAAGAAGAATAACGAGCATTGCGCTCTAAAGGTATTTCAATTATTCGATTATCTGATAAACGGGCTCGTTGAATAACATCCGAAGCATATTTGGACTGAGATAGAAGATAGTCTTTAAGAGAGGAAGCAGTCTCAATGTCCAAAAAATA